TGACAAATTTATATTAGTTTATTAATTGCAGTAAACATTATAATATATAAATAAATGTTGTGATTGCAAATAATAATACATCACTATTAGTAGATATTGAATGTTTTTTGTTAAATTTGATCGATTTTCAAACCCCAAAATTTAAAATATATTTTACATTTTACGCATTATCTTATGTACCACATTATTTGTATATTGTAAAACATTTGCTGCATCTGTATGGTTCATAGTTTATTTGCCAAAGTATTTATTACAATAAATAGGTATATATTATCTTCTTAATCTAAGTATATTATATTGTATTTATTAACTGTATATTATGTATATTTCATGTAAACTATATCATTTTTAAAATACAAACCAAAAATACGAGGAATAATTATTTTTTCCATGTATTCTACAACATATTTATTAATCCGTAGTATCTACTAGCGTGACGTCATAAATCTCGCCCGTGGCTGTTCTATTAGAGACGGCATTGGTCTAATATTTAGAAGTGTCAAAAGCTGATGACATTTTACTTTTGTCAATTATGACATTTCGTGTTGATTTTTGCAAGAAGAGGAAGAACTGTCACTTGTTTTATTATTTTCCTTTTCTATTTCACGAAAGTAAAAAGAGTTACCTATCTGATTCGTTCAGGCACTCAATTTAAAGAATACCAGTAACTTTTTTGACAGAGGGATTTTATATTTGACATGTTGGTAAAAAATAACGGTCAAAATTCAAAGTTATTCATTTTATAGACTATATCAAATTAAATTTTGAGTTACGTCATCGAGTGCGCGATTTTTAGATTCATTGTTGCAACCCTGGACATATTCGGCGTCGGGCTGACTAATTTTATTTATTTATTTATTAACATTTCTGTCGAAAACTTGATTTAAAACCGACTTTGTTTTGCTTTATACAGGGTGGGTCTTAAATAAGTGCAAATATTTTCAGAGCTGGTAGGTCTCTCGATAAAGGAAACATATTTTCTCTTTGCCGTTTCTCAAGTTAGTCCAAAATAATTGATTTTTGATTATAAAGCTTTCGTCTTTTGAAAAAAATAAACGAAAGTTATGTCAAAACATCAAAAAATGACGTAACAACAACGGCAACATTGCCCCCTATCTCACTTTTTACGATACAATAAAGTTAATAGGCTTTTACCCGGAATTTCGTGATGATTCCCAGGATAATTTCCTTCAAGGTCGCCGCCTATGTTTTCAAAAACCCCGCTTTTTTCTACCTGTTAACAGACAGATAGGTACATCCCCTTTTATATGTATTTACCCCGTCTGGCACTCCGAGACGTAGGTAAAAACAAACATGGCAAGGCCTACGCGTAGAGAATCGTGAAAAATTCAGTTCTATTTCTAACCCGTTTGTTGTTAATGTTGGCAAACGTTGTTGTTTGAAAACGTCATCGCGGAGTCGTTCGCAACATGTGGAGGCCGTGGCGGAATCTGGAGAGGGGAGCGGCGGGACAAGGAGGGAAAGCGGGCAGCGTTGCCGGACTGGCGAATTTTTCCGGTAAACTTACACAAATCAAAACTACTTTACGGTTTTTTTTAAATTTCTTAGGACCGGTTGTTTAAATTTTAAAATGTTCAATGAGTTTTCATACCCAAATTGCCGAGTTCGGAGTTGAATGAATGAGAATGAGGATGTATTTTTCCTGAGTGTCTTTTTTTGTTTTCGCAACCTTGTAGGCGTGGTTTATCTTCTTCATAACAAGTCTTAAGTAGAGTAAACTAAATATAATATATTTTGCTTACGGTGAGTGTGATAAAATGTTATAGTTCAATTTTTTGATAAAAGTACTTGAAAATTAACGTGACGCACATTATAAGTGTCTCAGTATAAAGATAATTAGTAATTTAACGATACGATAACCGATTTCGTCTTGTACGTACTTAAATAATAAATTTCCAGAGACCTTTAAATTTTTAAAAATAAATAAAGTAATTTTTCGGTCTAATTTTTTACGGAATTCAATTATTCATTTATTATCTAATAAAATTAAACACCTGTAAATTAATTTCTGATAAACTCTCACATATTTTGACTGTTTTATAAAATTTATAGCTAATCAAATCGAATATTATGAGCTTATCAGATTTATTAAGCAAATAAAAAGTATCTGTATCGATCGACGTGTAAAAATTTCGAAAAAAAAATAAGCTCAAGTTCTCTATATTTATATTGTTTTTCGTAAAATTTTCGGGAATTTCCTGGTAGTGAGGCCAAGTTTTCGAAAGTAAAAATAACCATTGACAACATTGAAACCAAAGTGACAATAATAATATTGTAAATAGAATTATTTTCTTGGAATGCAACTTGACCATGTGAACATACAGGACGGCCCATCGAAAACGTTCCGCAAGGCATAACGGCCAGGGTATTTATTTTTTCAAAAAATCCAAGAACACATCAATTTTGTTTGTGAGGGGGACAACTTTTGCCCCAAAAATGATTGCAAAATATTCAACCCTCTAAGCGGGGGTGTCATCCCCCAACTTTTTTCAAATGGAAAGGGGTGTCAAGTGGCGCCGCAATGAAAAGAGCTTTCTATTCTCTATATTTCCCCGCTTCGTGTTTGAAAATCGGTCGAGTCGTTGAGAAAATATGAAGGATCGAAATTTGAAAAGTTTTAATCAAGGATAAATTTGATCAATTTGCTGTTTTTTCTTATTTCTAGATGTTTACGCATTTTTTCACTTGCCACAACGTTGAACGATCAGGTGCGGTAGTTGCTAGATAGCTGTTCTGTGACTTGTACGTTGAAGTTCTTCTCAAATTTTCCAAAAATACCAGCGATTAACTACACCGTTCAAAAAGAAAGTACACTCATCCGAAAAACACACATTAAATAGGAAATTACTATCACTCGCCACTCGTTCACTCATAGTTTAACAAAATTGCAAGCGACGATCAAAATCGTCTTCGTTGAGTTCTTGTACCAACTGAATTTTGTACGGGTGGAACCTTAATATCGTGTTTTTTTAATATCCTTTGGAAACTTGTACGATTCCCGCCGGTCCCATTGGCTAATTTTCTTGTACTCAGAATACTGTCCATGGCAACTTGGCCCAATACGAATACCTCCATAGCTTCATTTACTCCAGGATTTTCCCTCTGCCTCTTTTTATTCATAACGGAACCAGTTTCGCGAAATTTTGCTACTAACTGGCGAACAATTTTGCCATAAAGGTGTTTGTCAGGATGGCGTTCATTGAATATCTGCGCAACCCGATTGCAAACATCTAGAAATAATAAGAAAACGCAGCAAATTGGTCGAAGGAATTTATCCATACCATTTACTCTGATAAATGTTTACAAAACTTTTCAAATTTCAATCCTTCATATTTTCCCAACGACTCGACCGATCTTCCAAAACGAAGCAGGAGAGTATAGAGAATAGAAAGCCCTTTTCATTGCGGTACCCCTTGACCCCCTTCCCATTTGAAAAAAATCCTTTTCATAAGTTATTCGGGATTTAAATGGCAGTAGTTTGGATATGGCGTTTATACCTCAGCCTGAATATCTGTTCGTAATTTACTTATTTCGTTTTGAGCCATTTCTGGCTCGAATTCGATCAGCAATCGACACGAAAGAGAATTAAAAAATATTGACTCAAAACTGACAACTAAAGAGACAGCTTTATTTATTTGTCTAATTACATAGCCAACGCCAACACAGCACAATATTTTTCTTTCTATTCTCTCTACTATATTGTTTGATACACGACAATAAAATTGCATTATCGTTTCCCGAAATTAATTCACGAGCGATGAAACAAAATACCATTTTGTTCCGAAAATTTCAGACCTCTACTTTTCAACCAATAACATGCTTTAATGTTGACTAGTTACCATGGCAACTGAAAAAATTTCCGGAAATTTTTTCGAGGCGCCACGAAACTTTAGTGGAAATTTTTTGACAGTTGAAAAGGTAAACATAAGATCTACAATCATAATGTGAATGAACTACAATGTCTATATATTGAAATATTACCCATTTGAGTTTTAGCATTTGATGTAACTAAGGTTGGTAATATTTTTTATTTAAGGAAATATGTTAGATATACCTACATATGAATTTCTTCGAAATTGCCATGTTCTAAAAAATATAGTTCTGCCGCCTTTATTTAACTAAAGCTGGTATTTTTCTATTTAACGAAATATGATGGATATACACTTGATTTTGATTTTCGGGTGTTATCTGGTTTTATATTTTCAATTTCTTCTTTAATGACTTGTTGGTTTACTTTTCCAAATCGCGACATTTCGCTATACACTTCTTACTCTACGTACAGACGTTTTAAAACTAGTAATAGCTTAATGACAGAATCGCAAACAAAAATGACAAAACACGTAATATGTCAAAAACATCAATACCTTGGCCAGCTTAACAAATTGAAATTATTTTAAAATGTCATGTTGGATTAATATTTTTTTTTTCAAATTTAGGTGTGAAATTTTCTTACCGAATACCACGCAAGCTTAAATTATTCCAGGAAATTTTCTTTCGGGCACGAATATTTTAGGAAAATTATCCCTCGTCTTCGACTCGGGATAATTTTCAAAATATTCGTGCCCTCAAAAAAATTTCCGAAAATAATTTAAGCTCTTGTGATATTATAAGTGAAAATATTTCCACTTATTTATGGCCCACCCTGTATAAACACATACGTATTTTCATTGGACACTCGGTATATTATCATCCGGATTTATTGAGAAAATTCGCGCTAGATCTTAGAACTTAATTCGCGGAAATATAATTTAGTTATTAACATTACAACGAACCGTCTTAATTTATCAGTCAGGTCTGTTTATCTCTGGCCGAAAAAATTCGGCGTAAACGTGGCAACGGCGCGCGATCCAGACAGACAGAGTACATATGACGCCAAAGCCATAGTCTTGGTGGCGCCAGCCTGCACAGGCACCCAGCGAGGGGGTCAAACATTCAAGAGGAGGAGACGTAGAGGGGGTGTCACTTATTCACTCGCTCACCTGATCGTTCACTATCTCCCTATTTCTCTTTCTTTCTCTGCTATTCCTTTTTTTTTCGCCTATTCTCTTTTGACAGCAACAAGCAGGTTCACATTCTGCGATGATTTAACTGTATAGGTAGGTGTCCCACTGGTGTCAAATTTATAGCACTCTCACTAGATTTGATTATAATGGCGCATAGTTTGTATGATTTGATTGATTTAGCACTGGATTTGAAACGGTGTCGAACACTGATGGAGGCGGTCGCGTAGTAACAACAGTTTATGCACAACAGCCATGATGTTTACCTTTTCGTCGTCTTTCTAGTGTTGTTCTCTGTGTCTTGTCTTCTCGTTTATCTCTCTCTCTCCCTTACTTTTACCGCGACGCGTTTCGTATTGGACTGACTGAGTCACTTGTCGCTTTTGAGTGCGGGCGAACAACACACTGGCCTGCCAGCGCCGTTGCCACGTCCACCTCGCGGAAAATACCTAAAAACCATCTCGGCCAATGACTATAAAGAATACAAAATACAAACATTTTTAGCGTACCTCCTAACAGTGCCGTGTTATACAGGGTGAGTTTCCTACGATGTTCTCTATGGGTATCTCGGAAACTACTGGAGATAGAGAGTGGGTTAAATGGGGAAAGAAAGTTTTTTGAAAAAGTTCATGGCTAACTAGATATTTACTAAAAAACAAATTTCAGCTATTTTAAAAATTGTCCCTAATTCCATTATAAGCTATTTTAGACAAAAAGTTTTCAGATAAAAGTTGTAGATAATAACATCCTTAATGAGATTGTGTCCTCCGTTTTTTTCTAAAGCCTGTCATTTTTGACATTTGACACAAACATGTTTTTTTAAATGGAAACCATAGTTTTTTAAGCTTTTCAGCGATATAAGCTATAATATGTTTTCTTCGAAAAATTATCGAGTTATAGCCAGTGCTTATCATTTTTAAATAATTTCACTTAGTTAGCTATGGAAACAGTCGTCTTTGCTCTTATAAATGTGAAGCTGCCACATCCAAACTTTGTAAATTAAAGTAAACAAAAATTGTACATATGAATTTTTCAAATGAAGAAAAGCGTGTAAGATTATTGGTTCAACTTTTCTTGACCATACATTTTCGAGGATACGTTGACCGGTGAATGTTATGTTTTTTAGAGAACGATTTTCAAGACTTGTTAGAAAAGTTAAATTTAGTTACAGTACGTTTGTCCGTCCTGTAGCTACGGGGTATCCGTGAGAGGGGAAACGATATTCTCTCGATGCTTTTCGTAAAAAACGACACAAAGTGACACAAAGTTCACTACAAAGTTCACTACACACGTCATACTATAAAAAATCGCTAAAATTATTATTGATGACACATTCGTTTCTCCAAAAAATTCTGTTTCACCCTGTATATGTATTTTATAATCTTTGAAGAATGATTCAAATAAAAATAAGGTAATCTGCTACAATCTGCAAAACGCGGCAACGTCGCCGTTGATTGTCTCTTTTTCATGACCTGCGTCCGTCTCTGTCTCCGGTTCGGAATCTCCGTCACGTCCGCCATTCAAGTTGTTCCCCTCCCGCCCCTCCGTCCTTTTGGATTCACCCGTTGGAGGATGTCCGACGTATCGAAACCCTAAAAACTATCGATACTGGCATCAATCACGATGAAAATGTAAAAGTTTCATGTCTTAACCACTCATATCCCTAGAATTTTCGGTGTTTTTAAACAAACTAGGCGTTTCAAGTTGTTATTTGCGCATATCACGTGGACTTTGGCCTTGGACGATACCGTCCTATCGATATTTAGCAGCGCGGCGTTACATCACTAAGGAATTCTCCGGCTTTTAATTTTTTTCTCTCGAAGTATTCGTTCAGGATCGTGGCACTTCGGCGCGCGGGGCAAAGTCCGAAGTAGCGCGCCGAAGGCCGCAGCGGATCAAAATGACCCTTTTGGCGCGATCTCATTGTTGCCAGATTTACATTTTTTTACAGGAATCTGATGAATTTGAAGGATAAAGCTTAATTTTCATGCATCCGTTGTCGGACGAAACGAGGATACGATATTTATTATTATTATCGATTGGTTAGAATATTACGCAGTTTTTAAATTTATTGCATTTTCAGGCCTCCGTTCATCGTATATACGATTTGCTTGTGGTTGGTGTCATTTTACTTAGTCTAAGAATTTTAAGAAATCTGGCATTTAATATATCTTTTGCTATGCTCTCCTGAACAGAGTGCGGACCGTCCGGCTGCCAGTAGAGGTTGCGTTCACTACTGCGCATCATATCTGTATCCAACATCTGTTCACTATTCGCCCTGTATTTCAAGAACTAAGGGGGCTAGGACAAATCTATGTGTAGGGTATTTAATTTCATAAAAAAGTAGCAAAGTAATGTGAAAATCGCATAAAACGCACAAAAATGGGATACCCTGTACAGATGTGGTGCGCAGTCTACCGGTAGCCAGACGGCCAGCACTTTGATCAATAGAGCATAATATCACAGATTATACAGATTATAATCTTTGTTTTTTCTTGATTGTTTTTCGTGGTTCCAATTTTCGGAATCGGGCACTAGTTAGGTTACTAGTTTGCGCACATAGCACGCCCACTTATGGCCTCTAAAATTGTGCACCGAGCCTGACCGGCACAGTTATTAGAGAGATATCGGAAAACCGAATAGCGTCATCCAGTATTTACGTGTAGGTACCTTATCATGGTTACGATATGCGCGAGTCAATTTTTAACGCAACACCCGCTAATAACGTTACCGCCTGACGTAATTTGCGGATCAATTACGCCAAGCGCTCTTTCTAAATAACCTCTGATAACGTTTACAAATTGCTTAAATGGGCATGTGCGCAATTGTTGCTTTGCTTTTGTTTTATTAGGTAATTTGATATTTAAGTAGCTGGGATTAGTTTTAATTAAATAAATATGGCCCAAAATATGGATTCCACCTCTTCCAATACTAAAGAACCTATAAAGAGTCTTAGGTTTACAGCAGATGACGACTTAGCCCTTCTAAGAGAATTTGTTACTTGTTGCCCTAAACCCACTGGCAGACGTTGAACAATAAAGCACTGGAAATAAGCACTTTAGCCCTTTAGTTTTAAAATACCTAGTAAACAAAACAATTTCAAAGTTTTAAATTCAAAGTTAGGTTAAGTTTAAATTGCGGACGCAACGCGATCAGAATTCTTTCCGATCCGATAACTATAAATGAAGAGAGTTAATACCACCTCACGTAAAGGAAATAACACCTGGCCTTATTAACGTCCATGCACGCTATTCGGTTTAGCGATATCTCTCTATTACGCTGTTTATTGTTATTTTACGCGATTTTTTTTTGCGCACAGGAAATTTGACTCGTTTGCACATCGTCATTAAAAACAATTTTCGTACCACGAATTAGGGACAAGATTTTTATCTGTATACTTATAGGATACCTAATCTGTGATAATATAGCTAAAGATATATTAAAGAACTTTCTTCAAATTCTTGTTTTCCCGACGGTGCTAGCTCTTATAGATACTATTATATTTTTATTAAGGTTAGATTCAATTTGTCAAAAAAGTGTCAAAACGGGTGCAGTGTTGCCGGGCTGCAGTAAAAAAGTTACGGATCATTTACGGATCAACGGATAACGGACGCATGAAAATCAAGCTTAAGGATGATTCCAGGATAAATATAAGGGTGAACGTGGCAACACGCTATGGACGGGATTCTCTTGCTGGTTTGCGGCTTGTGGCCATCACGGCTAAATTTAGAGGCCGCTGCTGGCTTGACGTGATGCCCGCTCGCTCAACCCAAGAGAGAAGGTAGAAGAAGATGAAAAAAGTGAAAATTCCGAGAAACGAGGATTTTTGCTGGAATCGCCCACTTCGAATCTATTATTCGTTCTTTGTTTACATCGACTCGTTATTTTTCAGGTTTTTAAACCGTCAGAGGCGCGCGACATATTTTTCATTTTATGATTAATTTTTAATGACCAGAAAAAAATTTTTCCTGTCGTTACTTTTTGCAAAATCAAAAAAATAATTGCACATTCTCATAGCCACTTTATTAGGGCTATCTGATAGTATTTTCAGATTTTCAAATTAACTGATAATTTGTGAGATACAGAGGTTTCCTGAGTACATATCCACTTGCTTCCTTTAATACTTGGCATGACCTACCATGAGGAAAATCGATATCTTTAAATAAATTGCAATTTTAAAGTTAAGAATGATAATAAATATACAGGGCGGTTCGAACTGTATTCCGGAAACTTCGGCAGCGTATTCTGCAGATAAAAATAAGTAAAAAAGTCTGTAAAAATGTATGTCCTAAAATGCTTAGTTTCGGAGATACAGGGTGTAGAAATTTCATTTTTATTCCTATTTTTTCCAAATAATTTCTGAAGTAACGTCAATATTTGGATGAAAATTGGTATTTGGGAGTTTTTCGACATGAGAAATTTGATTTTGATGTCAATAGGACTCCTACTTGTAGAGGGCGCCACCTACATATTTTTTAACCCTATAGAAACAATCAAAGTGGTCCACCCTGTACAGGGTGGGTCAAATTCGACGCTTTTAAATGGAAACACCCTATTCTATAGGAGATAGACGAAAACTAATATCGGTGTCTGGAGCTCAACTTTTGTCAAAAACATGATGGTGAAAACAGCATATCGATATCTGTTACCGTTTCAGAGTTACGGGGTGTTTTTCAAAAATATGCATTTTTAACAAATCGCTGTAACTTTTTTGCTATGGAAAATTTTGTATTTTTATGAAAACATTTCCAAAGCACCTTGTTACGTACAATTTAATGGTTTAAGTATCATTTTTTTAAAATTAATAATTTAAGAATTATCAACAGAAAATTTAATTTTTTTTATGGGACACCCTATATATTTTTAATTTATTGAAAAGAATTTAAAACTACCTTTCCAAAAATATAACACACTTGATATTTTGCTCGATTCCTCTTCGAGATATAGAGTATATAAAAATTCACCCGCTTTAAATAAGTAGGCTTTGAACGGCACCGGCTGTAATGCAAAAAAAATTCTAGCTGTGAGCATCAATTAAAACGAAAATAATATTTGCTATGAGAGATGCAGAATTTTATAACAATTTAAAATATATTTAACCAAAATCAACGCAATTAAACTATATCTAATAACAATAAAAATAAATAGCAAACCAAGACATGAGATTTTGCTACAGGTGTTCGACATATCGACCGTCTTCTGTTATTGACAGACGGGGCAGTTTTTGAACATTTCTCGCGGAATTCATCAACTCAGTGGGGGTGAAAGATACCCTCTCATAACTGCTAAGTATTTCTAATACTTGTCTAGATTATACGGAAGAATAAGGATCCTTTATTCTTCGGCAAATATATCCATAGGATTAGATCCATGGGCACTAAGTCAGGCGGCCTCGA